TTTCTTTTTAAAATTCTCTCTCTCTCTCTCTCTCTCTCTCTCTCTCTCTCTGTGTGTGTGTGTGTGTGTGTGTGAGAGAGAGAGAGAGAGAGAGAGACAGAGAGACAGAGAGAGACAGAGACAGAGACAGAGACAGAGACAGAGATGGAGACAGACAGAGAGCTCTTGAATCCCTAGAGTCGCCAGTGTGGATGCGGGGGTCCAAACTCCAGCCCTCACGATAGAACAGCAGCAGCTCTTAACTGATGAGCCATCTCCCCAGCCTCAAATTCCCAGGCTTAAGCCCTTCTGTCTCAGGCTCCCCTAGTAGCTGGGTCTACAGGTGCATGATCTGTGCCAAGCTTAACTGATTAAAAACGCAATTGTGTGGTTGGGCACTGTCGTGTGTACCTTTAATCCTAGCACTAGGGAGGCAGAGACAGGTGGATCTCTGAGTTCAAGGCCAGCCTGGTCTACACATTGAGCTCCAGGACAGTCAGGACTATGTAGAAAAAAAATCTGTCTCAAAAATAAGTAAAAACCAACTGTATTTGGATGACATTGGATGTCCTGCTCTATCTCTCTGCCTTATTCCTTTGAGGCAGGGTCTCCCTGAACTTGGAGGTGTGCCAGCCCCAGAGCGCCACAGTGAGAGCTTTGTGAGTATATAAGTGACCAAGGCAGCCAGCCCTTTTACTTGGTTCCTGAGGATTTGAACTTAGGTCCTCACACTTGAAGCAAATGCGCTTATCTGATAAGCCATCTTCTTAGCTACTTAAATGGTTTCTAAAGAATAATACTGTGGGGCTGGAGAGATGGTTCAGTGGTTAAGAGCACTGGCTGTTCTTCTAGAGGTCATGAGTTTGATTCCCAGCTCCCACGGTGGCTCACAACCATCTGTAGTGGGTTCTGATGCCCTCTTCTGGCATAAAGTCGTACATGCAGATAGAGAACTCATATACATAAAATAAATAAATAAATAGATCTTAAAGAAATAAAGTAAAAGTATAAAGGCTGTTTATGTTGTTTAAAAAAAAAAAGAATAATAATGTGAGCCGGTGGGATGGCTCAGGGAGGCGGAGGGGTGGGGGTGGGGTAAAGGTGCTTGCTGTATAAGCCTGGGGACCTGAGCTCAGGCCCTAGGTGGGAACAGAGAATGGGGTCCACAAACTGTCCTCAGGTTGCCGCCACACACATGCCTGACGCACACAGCCCTATACTTCATGCATACTCACACACAAATAAGACATAAATAAATACAACAGCGTGCAAGTACAATTACCCGGGATTACTTTTTTTGTTTTACATGTAATAATTTGCTTTTCTGGGACAAAGTTTTACTGCATAGCCCAGGCTGACCTCAAACTCTGTATGTCATTGAGGCTGACCTTGAACTCCCGATGCTCTTGACTCCATTCCCAAATGCTGGGAGATTCCAGGCAAGCACCACTGTGCCTAGCCAGTCTTACTAATAATTTAGAGTAAGCAGAAAGGTATTTTCACTTAAGCTCTGGACATGATAAAACAGTAAACAAAATATATCTTAAGGTTTGCTTTTCAAAACATAGTTTTAAAATTCATCAACAACAGATGGAGCATTTGAAATGCAAACAAAAATTATTAATTCCCAACCATGGACTTTGCCATATCTATTTGCTGTAGTGAATTCAAAGCCAGCACTGTTACCAAACACTTGAAGGCAAGTTAAGTTAAATCATCTTAACATAAGCAATGCAGTCCATGACGCACCTTCATAGTGAGGAGAATGTAAAAGTCACGCTGCAGTGGGGTGGTGACTCCAGAAAGGATTCGGTCTCACGTATAAGAGACCAGATAGAATTTAGCAAGAGCTGGGTGAGATGGTGCACGCCTTTAATATTAACACTCGAGGCAGAGACAGGTAGATCTCAGAAGAGTTTGAGGACAGCCTGGTCTACAGAGTGCATTTGAGGCCAGCCAGATTACACAGTGAGAGCCTGTCTCTCCCCTATATGCATTTCTTTATTCTTTATTCTTTTTCTTTTTTTCTTCTCTCCTCTCTCTCTGTCTCTGCTCTCGACACAGGGTCTCTCTACACAGTCCTGGCTCTCCAGGATCTCACTATGTTCTGGGATTGAAGGCATGTATCATCCCACCCAGCCATCCCTCACATGTATTTCAATGATGAAATATCCCACCACTTCTTTCTACGTGCCAAAGGAATTAAAAGCAATTTATTTTTTTACTTTATAAAGGGCACAATAAAACTAGTTTGTGCCAGTGATGAGTAAATACTCAGGAATACTCAGTGTGACTCAGAAGAGTAATTAATAGCAATCTAAAGCCTAGTCCCAGTGAACAACAGCAGGCATGTCAGCCTCACACACTCATCTGTAGCGACTGATCTGTGGCTTCGCAGCAAATACATTTGACTGTTTATCATCGGGAGTCAAAACATTGTCTTAAAACACGTTCCTTTCCCTCATAGCGAGCAGGCGCCAGCTTACTGGGTAATGGATCCAACACACTCCATGTCGAATGTTGTCTTTGTACTGGCCCTTGAAGATCAGCCTCCCGTCGGTATCATACTCCTGGGCTGGTCCGTTCAGCTCGCCGTCCACATATGTGCCTTGGAGGACACCTCCATCCTCATAGGTGTAAACACCCTGGCCCTGCAGGGCATCATCCACATAAAATCCCTCCAGGGTGCTGCAAGGTAAGGGAGAACAGAAAGGAATAGTCAGATTACACAGTACTATAGTTCTCTCTGTCTCTGTCTCTGTCTCTCTCTAGCATACAGGTAGTGGGTAGAGGATATTTGGTTGTTGTTGGCTCTCTCTTTCCACTGTGTGGATCACAGAGATCAAACTCAGGTTGTCAGGCTTGGTGGCAAGCACCTTTACCCACTAAGTCATCTTAAAATAAAGGATCAGGTCCGAGGACTCACATGCCCAGCTCTGTTCCCACCCTTTCATGTATCCAGGACATCTGAAATTCCCATAGACAGATGGCCAGGAAAAATGCAGAGAGAGACAAATAATAGTTGGTGATGTTGCTTGGTTAGTAGAGCATTTACCTAGCATGCCCAGGGCCCTGGGTTTGAGGAAGCCTTAACCTATAATCTCCTGATTCCTATGAATCTTATTTCTTTCTTTGCTAAAAGAAAGAGAGAAGAAAAAAGCCACAGGTCCAGCTGAGAACAAGTCTCAGCTACCCATGTCTCCACGGCCAGGCAGATGCCCAGCTTACATTGGGGCATTAGCATTTCTGCTGTTAAATCTACTCAACAGCGAGCATTGTGCTTCTCTCTGGGCTCCAAGTCTCTTGGATGGCTTGCATGCAAGGCTCTTCAGTCACACAAGCATGGTTTAGCTTGTGTGAATGGCCATCTTACTTCCAAGTCACTAATATTTTGTTCCACAGTAGCAATGATAACCGGCATCCAATCAAAAGACTTCCCTCTGATCCTGATGGGAGACTGATGAGGACTTATTTTTGTTATACAGTCATGTGTCCCTTAATGACAGGGACAGGCTCTGGAAAATGTGCCATTAGACGACGTTGTCAATGTGTGAACAACACAAGCAGGCATGAACAAATCCAGATGTGACAGCTGCCTCTTTACCTAGGTTACATGTTGATCTTGCAGGACTTTTGTGGCACAGGCTGTTCATGGAGTCCTGTGTGTGACACTCAGCCGGACACATGTGCTCCTGTGCGCAACCATGGACACAGAGGAATGGCGGGGTAAAGGGGGGAGACAGCGGGATCAACCCTGCTCACCCCATCCGCAGCCTGACGAAGCCTGAGCCCCATGGTGCTGGACCGGAAGAAAGCTCACAGCACACCCAAGGCCATTTTACCATCCTTCGCCTACCGCTGTCCTCAGAAAACACATTTGGAAAACTTGGAAATACGTTTTTTTTTGTCCAATATCCTCATGCAATAGAAGTAAGTTTACCAAAAATACCATTTGTAATAAAGGGAAGCGCAGCACAAACCATTTGTAATTTTTTTTTTTTTGGTTTTTCGAGACAGGGTTTCTCTGTGTAGCTTTGCACCTTTCCTGGAACTCGCCTGTAGCCCAGGCTGGCCTTGAACTCACAGAGATCCTCTGCCTCCAGAGTGCTGGGATTAAAGGCGTGCGCCACCATGGCCCGGCTCCCATTTGTAAAATTTTAAATGTAAGTGTTAACAATACGGCTCAGTGGTAAAGGCACTTGCCGCCAGTCCCAAGGGTCTGCATTTGATTCCCTGGACACACGTTATGGAAGGAGAAAGCCAGCTGAGGCCTGCCGTACTCTGACTTCCACACGCAGGCCAACCCCTCCCTACACATAGCACATATCCACAAAATAAACAAGTGTAATTTAAAGATTAAAACATAAATGCTTGGTATTCAGAAACAAAGACGGTTTGATTGACAGCCAGGCTTTAGTCACAGATTCAGCTGGTAAGCATGTTAAGGTATGTGTCCTACATAGTGAGCCTGGTCTGGGGCTCCAGCCAGCAGGGTGCCCGGCGTCAGTACAGCCCACCAGTACTGCCTTGTAAGCACACACTGCTCAAGAGGCCACGCAGGACAAACACACGACACATTCTGGGTCGGCGGGATGAACACACACCTTATGTCGGGACAAGCATGCACTGCGTCCTGGGTTAAGTAGGACAAGCACACATCATGTTCCGGGGCAGGTAAAATGCAAAGCAAGGCACAGGGACTGAGCAGGCTGTCCCTGACTCTGCCTGGTGACGTCCTGTCTTATGATTGAGAATGATCTGTAATTATTAAATGAAATGCACAGCCTGAACGGTGACAGCGTCTCATTTCATTGTAATTACACTATTTGTGGTCTCCCAAGGAGATAAATAGTTCTCTCCCGTTTGTTTGTATTATCAATGACAAATAGGCTTATTAAAATCTTGAATGGAATGAAGTGTACTTTAACATAGCTTTTGCATAAATGATCAAAACTCTAAATTCAGTGAAGCCGAATTAATGAGATTCAACTGTCATTAGATTCAGACAATTAAAAAGGAGAGGCTGCTCGGAGAAGGATTGCTAATCAACTGATGGCGTGATGTGTGCAGCACAGGAAAGCGAGTCAACCATCCCTCTTCCTGTCTGGGAGGGACTGTCAGGCAAGACACAAATGCAGCCGGGTGGTAGTGGTGTATGCCTTTAATCCCAGAACTCGGGAGGCAGAAGGCAGAGGCATCTCTGTGAGTTTGAGACCTGTGTGGTCTACAAAGTGAGTTCCAGGACAGCCAGGGCTATACAAAGAAACCCTGTTTTGAAACACATGCCCCCTCCCCCCCAAAAAAAGATACAAGATACTCGGTGAAGTCTGAATTGTATACAGGTTATAAACTTCAGCAGGTGCATATCCCAAATATCGGATAGAAGATATAAATATAAAAAGGATGCTTTGTTGTTGCGGTCTGAAGTTTTAATTTAACCAAGTGTTCTAAGTTTTTATTTGCTAGCTCTGGCAACCCATTTGATTTGAGATTCCCAGCAGCATTCAAAATGTTCCTGTGTGTATTTGGGTATCGTCCCCACAGACAAGCCTGCCAATACCTCTCAGATTCATGACCGAATCTGCAAGTCACAGGTGTCTCAGACAAGTTAAGAAACCAGCACAGACTTGCACGTATCTTTGTGAGTGTGAGTTCCCGCGTGCCAGGGCTGGCACACGAGGTAAGAGGACAACTTTGGGGATCAGTTGTTCCTCCTAATGTGGAGCTCAGAGCATCAGTGCTTTTACCAGAGTCATAGTTCTGTTTGTTTTTGTTGCGCCCCCCCCCCCCCATGGCTGTCCTGAAACTCATCATATAGACCAGGCTGGCCTCCAGCTCATGAGATCTACCTGCCTCTGAGTGCTGGCTCTAAGCGGGGCGCCTCCACACCCAGACCCACTGAGTCATCTTGTTTTGATCTCGGTCCCAACCGTGTCCAATGGCTTGTCATTGCCTGTGAGCCCATTCTCAGTTCCCTCTCAAGAGGAACAATGCTTTTCCTCTTTGCACAGCTGACTTCATACGCACAGTGCAGTCTCTGAAGGCAGGGCAGTCAAGGGCTCTACAGCTCGGCTCAATTCCAGAGCCCTTAAAGCTACCTTTTTAGGGAGGTAAGAAAGATGCTTCTCTTTCGGCAGTAATTTATGAATGACCCGACTGAATGGGAGAAGGAAGGAATCGATATCTTTTATGTTAAAAATAAAAAGCAATGTGTTCATTGTAACAAAATGTCACCAAGCTACAGAAAGTATAGCTTTTCACTATTCTTATCTGAAATATTTGGTTGACATTTTTATGTGAATATTATGCATTTCCATTCTCCCTCCCCATCCTTTTCCTTTTCCTCCCTCCCCCTCTTTGTCACAGGGTCTCACTATGTAGCCCAGGCTAGCTTCAACCTCAGGAACCTTCTGTTCTGTCCTTAGTGTTGGGGTTACAGTCTTGTAAAATCATGCTCAGCTCTGTATTTTGCTGTTGTTTGTTTTGAGACAAGGTCTCACTCACTCAGGCTGGCCTTGAACTCACTATGTAGCTGAGGATGAGTGTGAACTCTTGATCCTTCTTCCTCTACCTCCCAAGAGCTGGAACTTGTAGATATAGGTCACCACTAGTGGCTCCTGCTCTGTTTTAATTTTCTTTTTTCTTTTTATGTGTGTGTGTGTGTGTGTGTGTGTGTGTGTGTGTGTGTGTTTGGTGTGTATGTGTGTTTGTATGTTTGTGTGTGTATGTGTGCTTGTGTGTGTGTGTGTTTGTATGTTTGTGTGTGTGTTTGTATATGTTTGTGTATGTGTGTGTGTGTGTGTGTGTGTGTGTGTGTGTGTATGTGTAGAGGCTAGAAGAAGGTGTCAGAGCTCTTGCGTCCGGGGTTACAGGTGGCTGTGAGCCATCTAATGTGGGTGCTGGGAAGTGAACTTGGGTCCTCTGGAAAAGCAGCCAGCGTTCTTAACCGTGGAGCCATCTCTCGAGGCCCGGTTTTAACATTCTTACCCATGCTACCTTTTACCTTTGGCAGGCTCCTCAGGATCATATTAAGAAATAACGAAAATGGTCATTGGATTGCTTGGTTTCCTGGCAATGGCACTGGAAGCACATAACCGGACAACTGAGAGGAAATGAAAACATCGGTCTAACCACACTTCTTTCTCCTCACAGATACAGGCCTTTTTATTTTATGAGGTGCTAAGTTTCGAAAAACAATTAAAGTAGGAGATAGAGCTTGAAATAGTGGAGAAACTTAGCAGCTGCTCACCCCAACTGAGGCACCTGCATTTTATTTAAATATTACTGTATTTTCATTTGAAAGTCACCTCTATGGTGTCTGAAGACAGGAAAGTATTTAGGAAGCTTGGCTTTTCTGCATGGTCTGGGGACCGAGAAGTTTCTGTCCTCCACCTCATCGGCCTAACCATTGTTCTATAACCTGCAGCTTGTGGGCTGCACATGGCCTGGGGTGGCTATGAATGTGGCCAACACCAAATCTCAAATTTGCTTAAAGCTCCAGTTTTCTTTTTCTTTTTCCTTTTGGTGGCTCTATTATATTGTGCTTTTCAAGTCTGAACTTTTGTAGATAATGACTCTGTGTCCAATATTAAAGTTTGGACACAGCTGCTAGTGTGTCCTAGCAATATAAGAGTCGAGGAAAAAAACGTACAAATGAATCAGATTCTACTTTCAAGACCCATCTCTAACAAACTAAATTGTGGCTTGGTTGAAAACATTGTTCTAGGAGTTGTTCGTGTGGCTGCATTGGTATCTAATACTGCAAACCGAGGAAGGCGAAAGCCATCTCCAGCCAACACCTTCGGCCTCGGGAGGCGGGATGGGCAAGCAGAACAGAGCACGTTCTGCTCTGTAATCGGTCTGGCCATATGCTGGGCACCTTCAAAGTCTCTCTTGCCTTTGTTTTTATCCTTTCACAGAGGATGTGTGAGTCTAGAGAATCTGACAATCACTAAGGCTCAAAATAACAGCAATTAGCAAAATTTAGTCCTCTTTGTTAAAAGAAAACCCTAAGAAGTGTACTGCTATGGACTGAATGTTCACGCCTCTGTAAAATCTGTACTTTGAAGCCTTAATTCCCAGTGGGGCTGTCCTTGGAGGTGAGATGTTAGTTATGAAGTCAGAGCCTTCTTGGGTGCACTTACTGCCTTTAGAAAAAGACACCGGGGAGCTTGCTTTCCCTGGCTCCCTTCTCCAGCCTGTGACAAGATAAGCGGCCATCTGCAAGCCAGGAAGCAGGTCCTTACCACATACCAATCTAACAGCATTTCATCTCAAAGCTCTCAGCCCTCCAGAACTGAGAGATGAGCACTACCCCAGGCAGACATTGTCGGAACGGATTGGAATGTGTGACACCAGTTGGTGTCTGGTGCTGAACTGTTAGCTTGCTGATGGGGGTGAATGGTGGGGGAGGCACAGCTTTTGGAGCAGTTGATTGGTGTGTGACTGTAGCAACATTAATACATTTGACACCGATGTTTTTCCTAACAAGTAGTCTTCTAGGCCGCCGGAATCAACCAAGATTAGAGTAACCTCAGGACTGGTCACCAGCCCCATCCCCCATCCCCCAGGCACTTGCCAGGGGTGCCATGCCTTCCGAGGTCTTTTGATTGCTTTTCTCATTCAACCATTTATCCCCATCCTACAAATGAGAAAATAGGAGTCTGGGGAGGTCACTATCAAAGAAGATGACTCTTCAGGAACACCTTCATCAATTTCCCGGGCTCCTAGCAAGTGCTAACACACCTATAGAAAACAAGCTAGCTGCTGGTGGTGGCGGTGGCAGCGGCACACGCCTTTAATCCCAGCACTCGGGAAGCAGGGGCAGGTGGATCTCTGTGAGTTCAAAGTCAGTCTGGTCTACAGAGCTAGTTCTAGGACAGCAGGGCTGTTACACAGAGAAACCCTGCCTCAGAAAACAAAACAAAACAAAACAAAAACCAACCAACCAACCAACCAACCAATCAAATAGTTAAGAAGTGACCTTAGCCGGGCAGTGGTGGCGCACGCCTTTAATCACAGCACTCAGGAGGCAGAGGCAGACGGATCTCTGTGAGTTCGAGGCCAGCCTGGGCTACAACTTGAGTTCCAGGACAGGCTCCAGCGACACAGAGAAACCCTGTCTCGAAAAACCAAAAAGAAATGACCTTAAAGAAAACAAAGAAAGCATGGAAAAAAGGAAACAGATTCATCACTATTTCCTCGCTTCTGTTCAGAATGGAGTGCAGATAGAATAAAAAGTGTTGCCTCTAAAAATGAACTTAGTCAGTGTTTCACACCTGTAATCTCAGCACTTGGGAGGTAGAGGCAAGAGGATTAGGAGCCAAGATCATGCTCAGCTCCATAGTGAGGGCAAGGCCACTCTGGGCTACATGAGATCCTGTCTCAAAGAAAGGAAGGAAAGAAGGAAGGAAGGAAGGAAGGAAGGAAGGAAGGAAGGAAGGAAGGAAGGAAGGAAGGAAGGAAGGAAGGAAGGAAGGAAACATAGAAATGAATTCACCTCGACTCTAACTCTTACGATCTAGGGGACTCTGGGGAAGTTATTCAGCCTCTCTCAGCCTTAGTTCCCTCATAAATGAGGTGGGATTGTAAGTCCGAATGTATTTATTGCTCGGTTCCAGTAAGAGCCCAGTGACAGCAGGAACACAGAAACAATGCTGCCTCATGAGAGGCGGGAACACGTGACTTCAAAAGTTCATTTCCACACAGCGTCTCTGAGATGTGAATCAAGCGCCTTGTAAGAAGGTGGGAAATGTTAGATGTCCTCATCGCCCCTCAGCCCACAGGGATCCTGCTCAGCAGGACACATCAGCACAGGAAGTCATGACTTTGGGAGGCGGGGTGATAGCTCAGTCAGCAAACGGCTTCCCTTGCACATGAGGATGTGCGCTGGTCCCTCAGAACCACTTAAAAACCAAAGCCAATGTGTCGGTGTGGATTTGGAATCTCTGCCTAGCCTACTTGGTGAGTTTCAAGCCAGGGAGAGATCCTGTCTCAAAACACACCAAGATGTGGCCTTCTGGATAGCTGGGTGGGTAAAGTACTTGCCACCAAGTCCGACGACCGAGCTTCATCTCCGGCACCCACATGCAGAGAACCAATTCCTGCAAGTTGTCCTCTGACCTCCACACACTGTGGCATGTCTAGCCCCTCCCAACAAATAAATTAATGCAATAAAAAATTCCATAAAATCAAGGTTCATGGCAATGGGTAACAATAATGGAATTTTTAAAAATTCTCCATGTGTGTGCACATGTGTACCACACACACATACCACACACACATAAATGACACATATACACATACACATACATACACACACATACATATACACACACACACAAAAGAAAATGACTTGGGTACAGAAAAATAAAGGCATGCAGTAGCAAATTCTTTGGAAACTAGTCGGCATATCCAAGAAAAGCACTGACAATCGACGTTTCCACTCTGGGTTCTATGGCACACACTGGTGATCCCAGTACTCTCCGGGACGAGGCAGGAGGACAGTGGGTCTGAGGACAGCCAGGCGACTAGAAACAGCATTGAAAGAGCAGGAGATGAAGCTCGGTGGTAGAACACTTGCCTGGCATCACGAGGCCCTGGTTCAGTCCCCAGTTCCGAGGAATAACCATACATATGATAAGTTACCTTGCTTTTGTCTTGGGCTACAGACCCCACGACTCCCTGATATTACCATTCCACATACTCCTGAAAGTAGAGGCCTCTGGGTTTGTTTGATTTTTCTTTTTCTTCTTCCAGTCCTAGGCTAGTGACACGTTCTGGCTCCAGGTTTACACATTTTGGTGGAACTGAGAACAGTTAAACTGTACTAAACATCCAGATTAGAGGTGACAATCTGAGGTGCAGATATCATTCTCAGTACCAGAAAAACATTTCCACAGTGTCCTCAGGACTATACACATCCAGTGTCAGGCTCCAGACCGTGTGGCTCCTGATGGGGAGTCTTGGTCCCTATCTGCTTACTAAGGGTTCCATTTCTTGTGTTTAACAGGGAGTGCATTTTTGGCACATTTGGCTCAAATGCTCAGTCTAGCCCATAACAAGCTCAGTGTAGCTCATTAATGCTCTTCTACACCAGGTCTGTAAAGCCAGTAGGTAAATGCCACTGAATACAATCCATTTGCTGGATTATTTTCCCTACGAGTCAGTCAGTTGTTGGCTATCCTTATCTAACTACCAAATTTAAAGTATGAATATGCTCATGTGTGTGCCTGTGTGTGTATGTGCAGCCATCTGGATAAATTCTAACTTGTTTTCAGCTCCCACATCCACGTGGCAAGGACTTTACTATCATTGTTCAAAAGCAGCAAGTTAAGGGAAAGTGTCGGGAAGCGCAGTAGATGTCAGACAAATCCTGAACTCGGAAACTCTCCTCAGGTGGGGAGGGCAAATAAGACATTTACAAAAACATACATTGTGAAATGAACACAAAAATAATCTCAGCATAAAATAAAAATTGACATTTTCCAGTTAAAGAGCTTTGGTTAAATTGCCATGGAAATGGAGTAGGAGAATTACTTTCTGGATAGAGGGATTCTGAAAGAGAAGGCACCAATACTAACACCTCGAAAGAGACCTGTGGGGACCAGATATCCAGTGGGTATTGTATTTGTGTGTGTGTGCATTTGTGTGTGTGTGTGTGTGCATTTGTGTGTGTGTGTGTGTGTGTGTGTGTGTGTGTGTGTGTGTTATATGATGTGTGTGCCTGTGCACATGGCTGTGTGTGAGTGTGGGGCACGGTACACGTGGAGGTTGGAGGACAACTTTGGGTGTCAGTTCTTGTTCCGGCTTGTGTGATGTCACTGAGCTGTGTCACAGTTTTTGAACTGTATTTGAAATGAATCTGTGCAAGATGGGGCCCCTGCATCTGGCTTGGCAGAACATCCCTGGACAGACACACGCCAGGCTCAGCACACCTTAGGCTGGCTTCCGCACAGCCACCACCGCCATTTCTGGTCACCAAAGCCTTGCACACATGCTGGGGTTACTCTCACCCACCTTTTGCAGGAGGTGTATACAAACTTTTCATTGCATTCTTGCATTTGTATCATTCCTTCTTTTGAAAATAGCTGGAGACCACCACCACCACCACCACCCCGCCACCTCCTCCAACCCTAAACAAAACAGAGCGGCGAGGACTACCTGCCGTCAAAGAAGAAGAACTTCCCGCGTCCATTCTTTTCTCCATGCACGAAGTTGCCCTCAAATCTGTCTGTGGAGGAGTAGGTGACGGTACAGAACCCGTGTGGTAATCCATCATCGTCCAGGTGCCCTGGGGAAAGACAGGCACAGGCCACACCTTAGCACCAGCCACATGATGCAACCGCGTCAGCTCAGAACTGCCCAAGGTGCCCAGTCTTTGCATGGAGGCCAGAAGAGGGCATCAGATTCCCCTGCATCTGGACTTACAGACAGCGGTGGCGGTGAGCGGCTCAGCATGGGTGCTGGGAGCTGAGCTCAAGTCATTTGCAGGAGTAACAAGGACTCTTAACTGCGGAGCCATTCATAGCCCCAGTCCCGGCCTCTGTGTCTTGAAAGGACTACACATGCAGAACTTCATACCAGTCAGGTCCACACACACAGAAAGGCCCGGGCACGTTTGAAGACCTGGAGTTTGTGCCAGCTTGTCTGGGACTGGGACTTATCAGTAGGGCCATCAGCAGTACTGGTTACCACTTCCCTGTAGTCCTTATGTGTGGAATGGATGTCCCAGCTTCTCCTCAACTGAAATGTGGCTCAGGTGGCACTGAGTCTTGTCGTCACATCCACTACTCCGCAGCTCTTACATGTTGCAAGCATGCAATATGATTTTATATGTTACCCTAGAGTGTGGTACTGAGCACTAGTGGAGTCGGGACACACCATTTGATTTTACATTCAGAAAGCGAAGGAGAGAGTCACGAGTCTAAAACTGCCCGAATAGTTAATTCTTTGTTACTGAGAGTCCTCCTAAGCTTAAACTTAAGCTAACACTAAGTGCTCTACTTTAGAAAATCATTTCAGCTCTGAGCGTTTAACGGCAGCCTTTCATACTCCCTGTGTCAGAGGGTTATGTGTAAGTGGAGATGACCGTGCCCACATTGCTTCTGAAATAGTGATCTTGGACCCCAGGAACAGTCCTTACACTCACCTGTGACCTCCTGGTGCTTCCTGGTTGCCGACTGCACAGCCTGAAACACACATCTGGAGCCAGCGTCTAGGTGTCTGGGTGCTTTGTTACCACCTACATGTTTCGCAAACCCCAGGAGCATCCCCCCTCACTAGCATCCCCCCCACCATCTGGGTGAGTAGATTTTGTAGCGGTGAGTGAAAAAAAGGCAGTAAACTCGACTGTCTTTTCCCTCCGGTTGACAACTGGATCCTGGGTGAAAATATTAAACACGGTGCAATGCAGGGACATTAACTACAAACGTGGCTTCCAGAGGGATCCCTGGCATGAACACACAAACCTCGCCACCACAGTGAATGTTTTCAGCTCCTGAGACTTTTGTCTTAAGATGCTAGGACACCAGGCTAAGGAAGGACCGAGTGGTAGAGTGCTCAGATAGCATGCCTGGGAATGCAAGCAATCCCTGGCACTGGAGGACAAAACTTAGAAAAAGACAGGAGTCATAAAGAAAGCAGGAGTCATAAAGAAATAAAATGCTCTTTTTGTTACTGACTACTACACCATAAAATAATAACAACAGCAAAACCAAAAGCAATGTTTTATCACTCTGCCTGACTATATGGAATGAATTACCTAGAACATAGTACAACAATACATGCTATTATTTGTTTGTTTACTTATGGGTATGTGTGTGCCTGGTTGAGTTTATGTGCACCATACACATGTAGGAACCTTCAGAGGCCAGAAGGGGCCATTGGATCCCCTGGAACTGGAGTTACAGGTGATGAGCCATCATGTGAGTGGTGGGAACCTAACTAAGGTCCTCCCCAAGAGCAAGCAGTACCCTTAGCATGAGCCTTTTCTCCAACCCTACATGGCTATGTGAACATACCACAGCTGGACAGCTGTACATGGCTATGTGAACACACCACAGACAGACAGCTGTACATGGCTATGTGAACA